TATCTACCTGTTGTATTCACTTAGTTAATTAGTTGATTGATTTTATTTAGTACTTTATACTAATTCTCCCTTTTTTTGATTTTTTTTTTTTTAATAGTATATAATTCCGAATCTCCGTGTGATTATGCCTTTAAACTCTACACGCAAAGCAAAACCAATGATGTATTCAAGGGCTATGTTATCGACTTCTTTAGTTGATTAATTTCTTTTGGATGTAAAGGCGAGTAAATTTATTAAATTTAAGAAATATTAATTTATGAAAAAATTTTAATATTCTATGCATTTTTTTTAAAATGAAAAACAAGAGCGAACCTAATTTGGTTTCTTTTTAAAAAATATTAGTCACTACAAAATTTATCTAAAATCGAACCGTTAGGACTGTGCAAATTTTATTATACGACCACATATAGTTTTAATTTATATTATATCGCACACCCAATGCAGCACAGCACAATTGAGATATTCTATTTTAAGCCCTTAAAAACCACACCCAAACTCTAATTAATAACTCTAATGTAAAAAAAATTGTTAAAAATTTTATATACGTGATTTAGAAAATATAAAAAATATAATGTAAAAATATATAACACCATATTAGTACTTAATAAAATTTTATTATAAAGTTTTTTAAAATTAAATTTATGGTTCATTTAATAATTCTTTTTTAAGACAAGACCTATTTTCAGTTAATAGTTTTAAGAGCTTTTAATCATGTAATAACGGCATTACCTCTTGTTATTTTCAGCTATTGTTAAAAATAGAGGTTTATCTAATTATATTAGAGCTATACAGAGCGCGATTGCTAAACTGCGCATAGTTTCGAATTTTAATACAATCCAATTAATTCTCTTCTCAACAATCGTTTCCCTACCAAATTTTTTTACAATTTATTAATATCAAATATTTTTAACCAAATTTATTTACATAGCTAAATAAAAATTTTATATTAAAACTTAGAGTTTGGAACCGGTTTTAATTGGTTTAACATATGAAAAATATGCTGTATGTTTTTAAGTCTCAATCTTTTATATTTTAAACCTAGAATTCATAATCTATTAACTCCTGCTTTTTAAAATTTCATAAAATCTTTCAAATTATAATACCGATGCTATCTTTTATAATTATCAGATATCCATCCAGTCGATTATGATTTATCTCCGTTATCGGCACAGCAAGTGATCGACATTAAATATCAAAGTTTTTTTAAATTTGAACGAAGATATCTCGACACCATCCAAGCGAATTCGATGAATTCTTTTTTATTTTAATTCTACAGACTTGTAAAATAAAAAAAAAAAGTTCATCGATTTTGCTTAGATGGTTGCCGAGATATATTCGTTTAAATTCGGTAAAAGATTAAAAAGTCTAAATAGAGGCAGGGATAAAATTTTTTTAAACTTTGAACAAAGATATTCGGTGAACCTTTTTTATCATACAAGTCAATAGAGCCAAAATAAACAAAAATTCATTGAATTTGCTTAAATAATTGTTGAGATATATTCAGTTAAAGTTTAGTGAGAATTCAAACGTCTATTAAATAGAAGAAGGGATGAAGTTTTTTTTAAATTTCAAACGAAGATATCTTAACAGCTATTTAAGCTAATTCGATGAAATTTTTGATTTTAAATTCAACAGACTTGCAGAACTAAAATATAAAAAAGTTTCTCGAATCTGCTTTGATGGTTGTCTAGATACCTTATATAAAGTTTAAAAATTTTTTTTATTTTGTAGACTTTTAATCTTTTAAACAAACTTTGAGCGATGATATCTCGGCAACCATCTAAGTAAATTCGATGAACTTTTTATTATTTTAATTTTACAAGTCTGTAGAATTAAAATAAAAAAGAACTCATCGAATTCGCTTGGATGGTTATCGAGATATCTTCGTTCAAAATTAAAAAAAAACTTTGATTTTTAATGTCGATCACTTGCTGTGCCGATCGGAGATAAATCACGCGTATGCTGTGTCGTTTATTAATTATTATTATTAGATTTAAAACAAATAGAAACTTGATTAGGATTTGAACACTAGTTCCAAATCGGTTATAAGAGATTCGATTGATCATTGATGTTTTAATCGATTCTCACTTCTAATTCTAACGAACCCTAACCCTTTCTTGCATCTGACTAAATAGGAATCACCTTTAAATTTTTCACAGAAAATCTGAAGATAAAATACGAATTAATTAATATAAAAGAAAGACAGATTTCCATTTACAAAGATATTATCTTTATTTGAAGCCCATATCATCTATTTCACATTAGTTGATCATTTGGTCCAGTGCATTTTTCATTGTTTTGCCAAGACACACTAAATCTTTGTCGACAAAGCATTTCTCGTATATGATCTAGTCCTGTAAGAAGGTTCAGATGTTGGTTTGTTCGGGCTCAGATAAGGATGGTAAGGTCGACAACTAGTGGTCCATTTTGTCTAATTTACTTCTTACGAAATTTTGTAATGACATTAGCTGCTAATGAATTATCAGAATTATATTCTGAGGAATAGGTAATATGTGAGGTGCAACGGACAATAGCTTTGACTTGCATTTTCAGAATTATCCAAAGTTGTTAGTGAGAGATTAGATTTTTGTTTATATTTATATTCTTAAAAGTTTAGATAATGTTGTATTTTGTTGATGATTCATTATTGTAGAGCTTGAATCCAGTGGATAAATTTAGTCTATTTTTCAGATAGTTGCGAATTTCAGATATCCACTTGTAAATTATCCGACTAAATTCATTGAATTAATCAAAAATACAGTCGATTCTAGATACAATGAACTTTTTATAACAAACAAGTTAAATAGGAATTATTATAAAAAAGCTAGTCGCAATCAGAATGTATATTTTATTAATATTATCAATATATATTATTATTCGAGCAACTTAGAAATTTCGCTTGAGGTTTCACTAGATAAATAATCTTCACTATCCATTATTACGATTACGAAAAAAAATTTTTTGCGCTCAAGATAAAATACGTATTTATAAGAAAAAACTTTCTAATCAATGTTACCCATAAAACATATCATTTATTCATGCCAATATTAATACATCATTATTATTGAAGTATTAGATAGTTTAACAGATATTTAAGAAAAAATTCTCATTATTATTAATCGAATTTTCGTTATCCGATACGAACAGTGGGAGAGACTTGGAATGTATTTATTTATTTAGTTATTTGGTCGGAGCAAAAAGAATTGATTAATCATGTTCTTTATTAACACAGATCTATGGTACAAAACCACTACCCATCTTGATCTCGATACTCAAAAAGAAAACATCATTGTTTGGGGCTAACTGTCCTAACTATATACGGACAGATCACACAAAAAAGAAAAAGAAAAATTATTTCGAAGTGCTACGAAAAATCCTGAAGTTCAAGTTCAATTTTTTACTACTTTCGGTTTAAATTTTTTCAATTTGTCTCTTTGTGACATCATATAATTTAATGTGTGACTTAATATATCTTAAGTTTGAATTCCATGCAATAAGTGGTTTTTCAATGCGAATTTTTTCTCTGGAAAGGTATTTAAGGAAATTTCCGATCTAATAGAAAATCCAACGGATTATTTTGAACAGATCCAAGCACTACATTATTGTTTTGCATTAAGTTTTAACAATGATAGTGTAGGAATAGTCAGATTCGGATCCGCTAAGTATTGAGTCAAAAAGACCTCTTCTATCATTGATGATGTAGTCTTTCATTTTTGAGAAAGGTCCGATGATATGCTTCTTCCAATATAATCCGGTTTCGTCTTATGTCCTAAAAACACAACGAATTTTTATCGTTTCGTCGATTTAGGGGATTTGCGGTTGCGAAAGTATTCATGACATTATCATATGCATGTTGGCCATGTTGATTAATCCATAGCCTATTTGGGACGATGACTAACACTGGATCTTCTTCGACACCACAAAACAACTCCTTATAATATTCAATATCTTTTTTTGATGCTTTTGGAAAAATTGTTGTGGTGGCTTAAAAAGAATTAAATTATAACTTTTAACAAAGTATAAACAACATATTAAGGTTTTGAAGATTTACTTAAAAAAACTTACTTGTAAAATAAAATGTTCGTTTTTAGTTTTGGATTTCAATTTTTTCTATACTAGAAATAGCAATATTTTAACAAATTGCTAATGTGAAAAATTAAGTAGTGTGAAAAATGGTCTTTCTTATTGGGATCTGGTAATTGATGTTTTCGTTACACTAAAATACAAACACGCGTGCTGATGATTTTTTACGGTGATAAATTGTTGGCGCCATCCCCGATAAAATCAACAACTATCCTCTAGTAAATGTTATGTCACTGAGTTTACTGTAAAAGCCTCTTATGCGTCATAATCTTCGGTCGGCAATCTCATGTGCTATCCAAGTTTGTCATTGAAGCGTGATTTATTTTAGCCTGTGACAACTGGAAAACGCTAGTTGTAATTAATTCTTCTCTACCGCCTATCTCTCTACCATTTACTCTAACTTCCAACCCAATCTTACTACAGTAATTTCTTTTTTCATTTGAATACTAGACTCTTAATCTAACACAAATCTCCTGATGTGATTATCTTAAACGAATGCTTATTAATTACAATAAAAATATTACATAAACAAGTTTTACAGTAGAATTTATTTATTTTGACTATCCCAAGAACGAAAGAAAAAAATACTAATGATATCATGATATTTGTAATTGTTCTCTAAAAATATTACAGAATTTTTGAACATGGATCTGATGAAAATCATATCAAAAAAGTCTAATTCTAATTATATCCTATACGAGGATTTAAAGTTGTGTAAGCCGAGCATAGATAAAACAAAAAGAACAAAGTAATTGCAATACTACGAAAGGAAAATATATTAATATGCTATTGAAGTAATATTCTCTCACTGGAACCAAATTTTAACTCAAATTCTTTCAGAGTCAATCTATCAACCTAAATTTTTTAAAAAAAGTTTTTAAGAATGGCAAATTTAACTACTGAAATATTATTGAACGCATTTAAAAAAACGATAATAATAAATAAAAAAAATACCCCTGGAACAGGAATAATATCATTATATTTTTCTTCAGGTTCACAAATAATAATAAAGTGACGGGTTTTTTTCCAATGCTTATTATGCAATTTTATCATATGAAAACTTAGGGATTTTATAATTGACATAGGTTTTAATTTCTATAACAAAATGATAAAGCTATACCGTATAAATAATTGATTATTAAATAAAAAGAATAATAATGATAATGAATAATTCATTCAACCCACCTCTTTTGAGTAAAAAAGTTCGTCTGTTTCAAAATATCTACTTGATCCTTCTTTGAGGCTTAATTGGATCATGCGCGATGAAATTAGTGACCTAATAATAATATCAACAAAAACTTTTAGGTAAGCCATAAGTTTTAAAAAATGATAACTATAACTTGGAACTTACTGTCTACAACGAAATTTTTCAAAATTTTTTGCCAAATTATCTTCAACATTTTTACATATGACCACTTTCCATGTTGAAGAAACGTCGAGTGTTGATTGCTAATAAAAAAGATGATATTACAAAAAATTAAGAAAATTGGAATTGATTAAATTATAGCTTACATATTGAAACACTTTATAAAGTCTATCGAAAATATGGTCTTGTTTATTAAATGTTTGAGCTGTTATTGTTATGAATCCACCTAGATTATTGGTGAAAAGTTAAAAATGCAAAACTACATATAGAATATAACCATGTATGAAGAAAGATTTTACCATGCGGAAACCACTCTTCTAAATTTACGGACGAATCAGGAGGCCAACAACCATCCCCATAACCTATAAATTTACAATTCGGTAAATTTTTGAGATTCATCAAATGAGGTATATAATTGGGTTGTAATCCTTGTCCCTTATGAATCTGTGTAGCAAAAAGAAAGAATAGAGAATAAATAAAAAAGTAAAGCTAGAAAAAAAAAAAGAGCTCGAATTTAAAACAATAAATAAATACAAAAACGTATTCAATATCATCATCGAATTCATTTAAATGAATCCCTCCTAAACACTTTATAGCATTTAGAAATTCCGATCTTTCTAAATTATTTATTTCCGAATATTCCATAAATTTTGGTTTATTTTTGAACCATTCTATCAATTGATGATAACGCATTAAATTTAGAAAATTTTCAGCTTCCATAATTCCATCAATCATAAGTTGTTGATCTGTGAAAATATGGTTATATTCTAGAGATATAAGATTTTTTTGTTGTAAAATCGACTGAAATGATGGTAAAGTTTTAAAGATGGCGAAAAACGAAGCAGTTGGTCGAGTCAAACATCCAAGATTTAGATAAATAGTATCAGAATTTGGGAATATTATATAAAAAGAGGACATCGATTCATCAATCCAAACTATTCCGGCCTATTTATTAAATAAAATTTTTATTTAACATAAACATAATGTAAATTTTAGGATTAAATTATGGTTTTAGATTTGATACATAGCAAAAGAGTATAAGTAGATTTTATAAAAAAAAAAAATACCTTTTCACTCCATTCCATCAAAGCACATTCAATATACAGCTTAGATATATCATCATCGTAAGCAGCCTCGATAGTAAAAATATTGTCTACAGGCTGAATAAATTGTTTAGCAAATGTTATCGGTATAGAATCTCGTATCCAAAGAGTTTTCCCGATAATTTTAAATCTTTGAAAAACAATTAGAGTTTTATATTACAACTACATAAATACGTTAACATCTTTTAACATGACATGCTACAGTATATTTACAGTGAATACAAGTCATAACAGTGTCCAGGATAAGGCTTCAAGAGAACGGTTGCGAGGAATGATTTATTTTGGCCTTTTTCCAGACTACCTGTCCACTCACTAAATAAAATAAAAAAAAATGTTTAGATATAAAATAAATAATAAGCATATTAATTTTATTAATTACTTTTTCATATTTAAAATGCCTGTAGCTTTTGATTTACAAAATATTTGGGCAGGTCGAATCGTTTGATCGCAGGTGTTTCTATATAAAAATATATAAGTAAATCAATAAATATTAATATCAGATGTAACTCTTGAATTATTATTACAAAGAGACCAAATCTTAATATCAAACATACTCTTGAATTTGAGTTAATGGAGTATTATGCATAGATGGCCTATTAGGCTCTCTCAAGTAAATCTAACAGTAAATATTTAAACAGTTGTTAATTGAAATATTCTGCATTAGAAAAATAAAAAATTACATTAACTATTACATTATCATAATCATTTTCATTTTTATTAGGAATAAAATTCGTTGAATGATAATTTTCATTCACGATATGACTTGAATAATTCGACCTTCTAGCTTTACGTCGATTATTTTGAGTTGAAGAACGCAAGAATTTTGATGACCCAAAAGGGCCAACCATCGGATTTGCCCCAGCTTCTTCCCGAATCCAAAAATCCCTGATCATTTCATTGCACCCTTCTAAATTTCTATATTGCTGCCACTCTGGCTGTCTTCTGTGATCTACGTACATCAAATTATATCAAACAATAATATTCAAATGCATACTGTATAAAGTATTTTCTCTTATTAAACTTACCTTTGAAGGTTAAAAGGTACCAATCAAGGTTAAATTCATATTTATATTGAATAATTTTCGAAACTGGACCTTCCGAATCTTTCTTTTTGGCAGGTTGAATATATAAAGGGCTTAGGCTATATTTGAGATGATCAATTTCAATAAAAAAAAAATTCATGCAATATTTTATAAATTGAACAAACAAAATGTAAACAAGAACAAGATTTACAATTCTTTTCTTTCTCTTCTTGTTATCTTTTTCTGTTTCTTTGACTTCATAAAGTATTTAGCAAGCAAAAGAAAATGCAAGTTACTTTTTATGATCGCTAATTTTTTTATAAATTTTATGAATTTTAGATAAACTTTTTTTTATTTCTACAAGACTTTTTAATTCTGAATTACACATAAATTTATAATTAAACATGTGAAGCAAGACAATTATCAAAATGACATAGCTAACACTTATTTTTGTAATATAGAAATATAAATTCGTATTATTATTATTATTGCGTATATGATAAAGTTCTTAATGTTTGTTCATCCTGGCGTCAATGCTTCAGATCCTACACATGATCCTCATTATAATGACATCTTTATAAACTGACAACTAGATATATAACATTTTTTTATATTTAACAAGAAAACGATTTTGGATATATTGGACTAAAATGATGAAATAAAACTAGTAATTTCATTATTATTTATGAAATTGTTTCATCAGCATCTCAATATAAGATAATTTCTCTACATATAACAAGAATAGTTTGTATTCCTCTTACAAATGGTATCAATTCAATCATCCAAAATTGTATTTCTTTCCTTTACCCTACATGATAGTAATGCCTATCGTAGCGATAGTGCTAGAATTAATTATGTTAACGTAATGTACAATCACATGGTATGTTGAAGCCCCACAATTCAGCAATTTACTAATTTGATAATTTTGTCCTACACTTGTTGAGATTAAATTCCCTTGCCAAATGCAGTTTACAAAGATCTTCCTTATTGGCCATGGCAACCTCTTCGACTAAGGTCGTAGAACTTGGCTTTGCCGAGCCACTGGATAATCCCCTCACAGCAGATAGTTTTCCGAGTAAAATTGGAGGAAAACCAGTAAATTAATTTTTAGTTATTGGATTTTTTTAAAAATCATATGCCGTGAGTTGATTAATTTTTAATGAAAAAATTTTAGGCATGGTTGAATCCAGGTCATGTTCTATCAGCTGAAGATATTCTTTGCGGAATTTGTAAAAAACCAATGATCCTTTTGGTTCAAGTAATTATTTATATTTCAATGGTTTCATCGTTTTATATAATATCGATTTATTTGATTTATTTGATTTTTTTTAATTATCATTCAACATTTTCAACATGTTCAACATAGTTATACACTCCTGAAGACCACCCACCTGAAGCCTTTCATCGGTCAATATATGTTTTCTGCTGTAAAAATGGGGCATGTCACAAAACTTCATGGCGTAAAAGGTTTTTAAAATTAAATAACAATGTTACTTTCCTTTTACCATCTCATACGGTTGACTTGTATCGAACTATCAGACTGTATTGGATCATAACCTATATTACAGTTCATTTTAAGCTACTATGATATTGGGACGGTGAAAGGGTACAATGATCGTATAATTATTATTTACTTACCTACTTTATAAAGTTTAAAAGTATTTCGAAGTCAATTGCCAAAATATAATCCTTATTGGCCACCACCAAATGAAGAAACCAATAACTGTAACTCTAATAGTGATGATACAAATGAAAATTCTAATCAAACAGTGGAAAAATTTATTTCTGGTTTATATCTCTTTTAAATTATTTTTGTAATATATTAATGTTTCCATAGAAATCATAACTTAAAAATGTATATTTTTTTTAGCCAATTATTATTGTGTAGTTTGTGGTCTTTATGGTTCCAAAAAATGTGGAAAATGTAATCAAACATATTATTGTTCAAAAGAACATCAAATCGTTCATTGGACGTCCGGACAACATAAAATTTATTGTAATACAACTACACCTTCATTAGATGATCATGATAGTCTGTGTAGACAATTAGTTTTGTTTCCGGAATTTGAAATTGTAACAGAATCTGAGGGGAATCTGAACAAAGATGGTGAAAATGGTGAAATTGATGGCAGTTCATCAAGTGAGTGTATAATTAATTAGATAAATTTCTTTTATACTTTATCAAAAAATACTTTAATTACTATACATATATATATATATATTCTTATAGATTTAGATGATAAAAATTCTAGAGCTCTTGTTCCAGTTGGCGATGAAATTTATGAAAATACTCAAGTTAATGTAGACAAAGCATTTCTAAAATTTCAAAAAAAAGTTGAACCATTTCCTGACCAGGTATTAAGGTAATTCGAGCATATCTTTATGTTATTTAATCGAATTAAATATTAATTTTATATATAAATTCAGGTATGCACGATTAGATTACGAATGTGAAAAAAATGCAACTCCATTATGGGTAAGTGACATTGGTAAACCGATGCCTGAGGACATACCTTCATGTCCGCATTGCGGTCAAGAACGGACTTTTGAATTCCAAGTGAGTAATACGATAGATTAAAACATATATATATGTTGTGCCTCGGACTAACGCTTGCCTCAGATCACAGCCGACGCACCTCCGATTCAGATCGTCAGGTGAGGTGCGTAAACTACGTATTGATCTATCAATCTGACGAAAGTAAGAGAGTAAAATAAATTGAATAAAAGGCTTTGACTTGGACGCTTTTTTTATTCTTGCTTTCTTGAATCTCTTCAGCATTTTTCTTATTGGTAGCATCCAGCACTTCTATTCTCTTTTCCAAATTTTTGTGGTACATTCTATTTCCATTTAATATGCATTTTTTTTCTATACTATGGTTGTTTTTTTTTTCCTAAATTTTCTCTACATACTCTTCCTTTTTAAGTCTTCTCGATACGTTCAACTTCAATAATACATTTTATTCTATGCATATTTTTTTTTCTGTGAGTAATTACTGATCGATAAGTTACACACCTCATCTAACAATCTATGCCTGAGGTGCGTCAGCTGTGATCCGAGGCAAGCGTTAGTCTGAGGCACAACATATATAAGTAAAGATAATACTTATAAACTATTATTTGAATAAATTATTAAAGTTCATGAATCTTTTTATCAAATAAAGTTTCTTATTAATTTGAAAAATAGAAACTATTAATTTTTTGGCAGTATTGTCACACAATACAACTATTCTTCTACATACACAATTATTAAAACTGCAATTTCTAGCTGCATATAAAATTAGTTGCATAACAATTTAAAAATTGTGCATCAACTTAGATATGCACATAAGAAAGTATTTACTATATTATATATATGTATTTATTTTATAAATTATATCCATGTTATTGATATTTCTTGTTGAGATTTATTTGTTGACAAAAATAATCTGTTTCATAAGTTTTGTACATACTTACATGTTGAGTAAAGTATTTAAATCAAAATTTAACATTGAATATGTTGATATGATAAAAATTATCTGTAAAAAAAGTATGATACATATCATTCTGCAAATTTTATTAGTATTAGTATCTCAGGAATTATAATAGCTGTAATTATTGATGGGACCTACTGAATTATTAACAATAATTAATATTAATTGATTGATCGAATTATTAACTAATAACGACTTAATAATATATGGAGCGGCTAATTAGTACAGGATGTATAAAAAACAAAAAGTTGCTGACATATTGGCGGACTAAACTTTATTAAATCCGTTGGTAGTTTATTTAATTCGTCATATCAATATTATTAGTGATTAACTATTAATAATATTAATAACGCATTATTAGTTTTTTCATTATTAACTAAAAACTCGGAGGTCTGTAATCATAGGAAGACTTTCGTATGATTGGCAGTTTAAATCAATTTAATTTTACATTATTTATACAGTTTAAAGTACTTTT